GTCTGAATATTAATTCGATATTGTTTACTGTTGTTTACCTTTTTTATTTTTTTATTTATTTATTTTTTTTCTGATGAATACACCTCCTCCATCTCCAGTCTGAAAAGGTTTGAGCTTTTTTCCGGTAAAGGTAACACCTTAACCCCCTGTTATGTGTGTGTTATGGTACAATTTTTTCTGATATTAGAGTTTGTGTGGTTACCGAAGATAGAGGTACGAGAAAAAACAGTGGTCTTATCTCACAAATTCCTTCATCTACTCTACCATTATATTTTAATATGTGTTATTGTAATATGCTCATGTTTTTAATATGCCCTAGTTCAGCCTCATGCCTTATCATGTTTATAGTGGCAGTTATGTGTTGTATGTGCTGTTTTATTTGTTTCTGAAATTAGAGTCGTAGTAAGTTTGCTCCTTTGAAGTTTATTTGAGGTTGAAAGAACCTTGTGTTTTTGTAGTTAGGCCTTAATTTGTTGAGTTTCTGAAATTGTTTGTGGTGCTCTTGGGTGTGTGTTCAATTGTGCTCACTTTAAGAAGTTATGAGTCACATTTTATGCCTTAGAGGTTGTTGACAAGTTCAGTAGTTAAGATTCAATAGGGGAGGATCATGACTGATGTGTTTATTGTCTTCTTTTAGATAAATTGTTCGAACCTTAGATTTTTTGGTGTCTTGAAGATATTATGTGTTATTTTTCATAGTATTTGAAGCTTCAGTTTAAAAAGTTCAGTAGCTATGTTAGTTATTTTTCATTCCTTAATGGTTTTATTGCATGCTATAGTTCATTAGTGTTCAAGAAATAAAAGATCAGATTAGACTTTATAACTCAATTTTTTTTCATGTCTTAACTTGTTAAGTTTTTATTAGAGAAAAAGAAGAAAAGCATGTTGTAGTGTTCAATATGGGCTGCTCTTCTTAATAGAAGTCTTCAATATCAAGGTACTTTTTTTGTTTTTTTCTTGATTTTTGTTTGATTTTTTAATGGGGGTTTGTTAATGGGTTTTGGTTTATTTTCTCAAAGATTGAATTGTTTTTGAACTTCTTGTTTCAATCTATGGCTAAATTGGTGCAAAAATCCTAACTTTATGTTAATGGGTTTTGTGAGTAGAATTTGTTGTTATTGTCAGTACAGAGCTATGAAGCAGAGGAATGAATGGCAGTGAAAAAAGGGGCAGATAACTTCTATTGGCAGTGAAAAAAGTTCACTTCTTCAAAGTTGGAACACAAAAATTACCAGCCATATTTATGAAATGGCCCAGTTTGAGAAAAAAAATAATAATAAATTGGACAATTGGGTCCTTAACTAGTTGATGTCTTTTTCCTTAACTTTGGACAATTTGGTGAAGATTTAGGCCATTAGTTGATGTCTTTTTCCTTAACTATGGGACCTCTGTTAAAATTATCCCCCTTCTGGTTCCCATGACTATCACAATCACAAATTTGAATATCAATTGTCACATCTTCTCTTCCCCTTACCTGCTCTCCCTCTCTTTAACATCATCATCATCATCATAATGCATCAAATGAGCATGTATGTTTTGTGTTTTAATTGCTACAAAGGTTCCATTGCATAGTGGGATGGCAGTAAATTGTTATATATGAAAGGTTATAAAGGTTATATGTTATGATGATAGCTATTAAATATCAAGAGCCTAGTGAAGCATGTATGTTTATGTTATAATTGCTTTCATTGTTATGTAAAATTGCCTAGCTTGTTTTTTTATTTTCTGACTGTAGGTAGATGTAGTTTGTTTCTGCTGAATTGTGCTTAGCTTTTTATTAGAGTTTAAAACTCAATTTTTGCATGCCTTAAATGTGAATAGTAACATGACAGAACTACAAATTGTCCTCCTTTTGGATAAATTGTTGGAATCTAACTTTCTGTGTTGTCCTCCTCAAATTCTGTGCCTTTTTTCTTTATCCATAGTATGTGAAGGTTAGGTTTCAGTTATTGGAAACTCAGCATGTTTTTAATTTTCCTACCTGTAGGTACATGTTATTTACTTATGTTGAGTTGTGCTTATCTTTAGACTTTACAAACCATATAGGAAAGGCTAACTGAAGCAGTACAGAGGATAGTTTTCTAGATTGTAAAACTTCAAAATGAGAAAGAGAAAACTACAGAATTGCAGCTGTGTTTCATATATAAATAAGTCACAACCAAATGCACAACTTACAACCATATAAATAAGATTAGACTTCACAACCAGGTCACTAATTCACATTAGAATACACAACTTTTTGCAGGGAATTCTCAGACTGACATTAAAATTCACAAGTCTCACCCAAAATTCACATTATTGCTAGTCAATGTTATCAGTTAGTAGGGAATGATTTCTGGAATGTTTTTAATTTGAAATATATAACTATTACTGGTGGCTTTATGTGTATGTGAATGATTTCTGGAATGTGAATGATATCTGGATTGATGTCTGCAATGTTTTTAATTTTGACATATAACTATTCAGTTTGTGTAGTGACATATAAGTATGTGTAAGTTTCATTATGCTGTTTATAACTATTCAGTTTGTGTAGTGACATATACATGTGAACATGCTGTTTATGTGTAAGTTTCATTATGTTCTAAAGTACTTTTTGAATTTTACTAACATTAAAGACATTTTCTTGTTCAGTTCATTGAGGATTCCATGACAAATCATCCACTTCTCGTTGCTTGTTTCATAACCAATTCTGTAGGTACACTGTCCTTTTCACATAAATTACACCTCTTTTCTTGTAATACTCCTCTGTTTCATAATCAGTCTTATTATGCTTTACTGGAGGGTTGACTGAATGGCATGTTTAGAATGCCATTATGTGTTGTACGTGCTGTTTTTGTTGTTTCTTTATCATCGGAGTATGAGCATGACATTATTCAGTATTATGCCCTTTTGAAGTTTATTTTTGAAGGGGAATATGAGCATGACATAAGTGTTATTTGCCCTTGTTTTGAAAAATTTTTGAACCTTAGTGTATCCTTGCACAGAGTATATTTGCACCAGATTATGTGAAGTATTACTTTTGGATAAATCTTAGTGTATCCTTGCCCTTGTTGTTCAATATTTGTAGATGGATAACGTGCGAGACAAATTACTAATTCTCACTCTTTTGGAAGAGATTGTTCTTGGTGCTCGATTTTTTTTCATAGTAGCAAGTTACTACTACCACAAATTCATACTCCCTCGCCGCCGTCGACCTTCATTGACTAGCAGACTCACATACCGACTGAGGGATAGGGTGCCCCTTCAAGTGAGTCATATGCAAAGGCTTGTCGACGTCAGTGACACCACTTGCCTTGAGAACCTCCGTATGAACAGAAATTGTTTTGGTCGCCTTTGTTTCCTCCTTGAAAATTTAGGGGGTCTTGTTCAATCTAGAAACGTTGCACCGAGTGAACAAGTTGCTATGTTTCTTTCAATCCTCGCACATCACAAGAAAAACGTTACCTTGAAGTTTGATTTTACGAGATCAGGTAGAACAGTAAGCAAGTACTTTAACCGTGTACTTGATGCTGTAATCCGCCTTCACACCGTCCTCATCGCCACACCTAAGGCAGTTGAGGATGATTTTTCAGATTC